CCTTGCTTCAAACACCAACATACAATGACCTGTCTCTCCTCTCCTGCCTCCAACGCCCACGGATCACATCCACCAATCCCCACATCTCAATCTACAGCTTTGTAGAGTTGCTCCTCTGTTACATCTCCAAAACATAAACACGAAGAAGGGGAGCGTTATACTTCCCCACCGCTTACAAACCAGGCGACAGCGCTAACTGCAACAAGATATCGAACCGATAGAGAGTCTGAATATCGAACACGCACGGTGCACTGTACGCGTACACTGGTGCATCTTTACCGTGTATTTGGCAATCCTTTCCACTAACATATTAGGTGCGTTCACACTGGCGCGAATTAGCGGGCTGCAAAACCCGGTTTTTGCAGCCGCGAGCTTTTTACAAGTGTGAACGCAATTAGCTCACTAAATCGCGCTCAAAATAGCGCGCTGCAAAGAACACTTCCGACTGCGCTAATTTGGAATAAGCGCGCTTATTTGCACCGCGGTGTGTTGTCCCGCTCGGCGATTAGCGAGATATTTCCGCCTGTGTGAACAACGACACAATTAGCTCACTATTATCTCCGCTATTAGCGGGATGAGCAGCGCGGTTTTTCTTGTGTGTGAACACGCCTATTTATAAAGACGCGCGCTAGGCTCAGCAACTGCCCGTTGCGCAAGCGATGGTTCCGCACTGCCCTCTCCTGCCCATGCCCCCACAGCACCCTTACCATCAGTTCTCAGGCGGTATTGCATGCAACCGCCTTAAGTTTACACCTTATTTAAGGCTCACTGTGCTTTAAGATCCCCATTAGGTGGCAGTTTTGCATGAAACTATCACCTTGATAATGCTAGGGCAGGGTGTATGTTTGAGGGCCCCTTAATTCCCCCAGCCCGCACGTGTAGCGCGCGGGTGTGTGTGTGTCGTTATATACATCTATGTTATTACACGCTGGTAATCGACGCTAAACTTTTTTTCAATGTCGCAGCGTTTAAGTATAGTCTAGACCGAAACATGACTTCATTCGCGCAAGCCCCTTCTACGGAGTCAACTAGTTTACAACAGTGAAGCCGTTACGTATTTAATGTAGAGCACATATATGTTATATCATAATTTTTTATTTACGTACCTACATTAGGAGAGAGAGAGGTAGAGAGAGGAGCGATACGAGAGAAGAGACAGGAGAGAGAGCGAGACGAGAGCGCATAGAGAGGAGCATGAGGGGTAGGGGTGAGACAGGACGAGAAGTGAGTAGACTGTAACTGACACGTGTCACTGGCGCGCCTCTGCGCATGATCCGTAGATATCGCCTACGAACAGTTTCTAGCAGACGACATCTCCGTCCGGTAGAAAGCGTGTGAGATTCACGCATGATCACGGATCGGCGGTTACCAGCCGAACGGAAGAGTTGCGCTAAATTGGGATGACGGCAAATGCGGCAGTGTTCGCCAGAGGCTCACCCAGACTTGAGAACGGGTAACAGCGCTATAACTTGTACAAGTCACTTAATTTTGGTGGATCCCAATTTTCGTGGTGGTTCGGTAAACACGTCATGTTCGTAGATATTCGTGGATTTGAAAGTCGTAGATAACCGGCAACTTGAA